TGCTGTAGGAACCCTTTGGACAAACTTGTCGTATAGAAACTGCTCTCTGCTTCCTTGCTGGTTGTGCAGGAGGTTCACTTTCTTCAGCCTCTGGGTCCGTACTCAGTGGGAAAGAGAGGGATCTAAAAATCAGGAAAAAAAGCTAAATACAAAAAGGAAAAAATATGAGGAAAAAAGGAAAGTTTGTTTCAGTTTTTAAAGTGTAATTTCAGGATTTACTTTTTTCAAACACGATTCATAAAACATGATCTCTGCGTCAATAATGTTCCAAATTCCCTCCATAGAATGTGGCAGATGTTCTGGTGGCTCTGAAAGCCATTTTCCCTCCCAGTTAGCTGCCCGTTAACATGCCTGCAAACTTAAACTCATTTTTTCCTCCTCATTGTTTCCGTGATTGAATCAAAGCTGATTGGTGGAACTCTCTGAGCAGACTTCTTTGTGTTTCCCTCAGATATCAGAAATGAGTCAGGAGCCTCGAGCCGTGCCCAGAGACTGCATCTACCCCTCCCTGGTGGGCTGCTCGGCCCCCGTGGAGGCTGTGCTCACCCAGATTTCGTCCACCATGTGGTGAGAGCACCCGGCACCACACTGTTTGGTTTGTTCGCTGTGATCCGGTTAGACGCTGCGCTAAAACGGTCGTCTGTCTGCTAACCCTGCAGGTCCAGAGGGTTCGGGCAACTCATTCGCGCCAGAAACGTCAAATCGGTGGGTGACCTCTGCGCCCTGACGCCCTCCGAGATCAAGACTCTCCCCATCCGGTCTCCAAAGATCTCCAACGTCAAGAAGGCCCTGAAGATCTACGAGCAGCAGGTGAGACTCCGGTCAGATCGGGGCGGCAGCGATGGTTTACGTCATCGGCGAGTCGTTAACATCTCAGCTTTGATCGTACAGCGTAAAGGCAGAGGAGGAGACGAGCTGAAGAGTTTTGATGAAACGGAGAGGATGACGTCTGAGCCGGAGGAGACGGGCGGCGCTCCCACCCCGGACGAGGAGGAGAAGACCTCAGCAGAAACCCTGGGTGTGTAAACGCCGTGGATTAAAGCGGCAGCGTCCATGTTCGGTTTCACAATCATTTAGATGGAAACTGTTGGAAAATTGCTTCACCTTTTGAGCCCCATCATCCCTCGGGGCCCCGCCCCTTTTGATGACATCACTATATGGCAACACACTCCGACACACTCTGGTTTGTGCAGCAAAAATGTTCGTTTGTGCTGCTTTGGATTTGAAGATTTGAAGAAAGTGGGGGGGGGCTGGTTGACCTTTTGACCTTTACATTTGCATTTTCATTAATATCTTTAAGCCAAAGCAGCACAAACAACATTTTTTTCTGCACAAACGGATCTGAGTTAATTGACACCCATTCCATCTGATTTGAAGAAGGTGGGGGGCTGGTTGACCTTTGATGACCTCTAGAAACATCTCTTTATATCTTTAAAATGATGGTGTGACAAACACTTTTTGCTGCACAAACGTTTGACACCAATTTTGTCTGATGTGAAGAAGGTGGGGGGGGCCAACTTCACTCAGGTGAAGAACGAGCAGGAAATCAACAGACGGATTGTTGTGGCGTCTGCTGTGAAGCTAGTTTGTTAGCGGTTCGTTGTGGTGAAGAAAGAGCCGAGCCAAAAATCAACGCTCTGGATTTACCGGTCGATCTACCTTCCTACCCTCATCTATGAGCTTTGGGTCATGACCAAAAGAACGAGATCCTAGCGGCTGAAATGAGTTTTCTCCGTAGCGTGTATGGGCTCTCCCTTAGAGATAGGGGGGGGAGCTCAGTCATCCGGGGAGGACTCAGAGTAGAGCCACATGTTGAGGTGGCTTTGGCATCTAGTTAGGACGCCTCCCTGGTGAGGTGTTCCAGGCACGTCCCACCTGGAGGAGACCCAGGACACCCTGGGAGCGCCTTGGGATTCCCCCCAGGAGGAGCTGGCCCAAGTGGATGGAGAGAGGGACGTCTGGGCCTCCCTACTGAAGCTGCTACCCCCGCGAGGAGAGGGGAGAATGGAGCAAAGCTAGCCCCAGCGCTACCAGCTCTCCCCCTTTATATCAGGATGTTGTTGCTACTTCTTTCACC